CCCAGCCGACGGGCCTATGGGTTTTTCGGCCTTCAACAAGACCATGAGGTTGGTACTTGGAGACGAGGTTTTTGGGCTTTTATTAATTCTTCTGCACGTGCGACCCAAATCATTGTCTTCAGTCTCTTCGCAAGTGCCTTTTCTTTCGGCCAATTTTTTTAGAATCAATAAAACATGATAAATTTTTATCAAATAATAATAATAATAATAAAACATGACAAATTAAAAATAAGAGTGGAAATTTTATCTACCCATATTTAAAAAAATTAAGATTGATTAAAATTTTATAATTAAGTGTTAACATAATACATCTTTTAAAATAAAGAGTAAATTTTTATTATTTAAAATATAGAGTAAATTTTTATTAATTAAAATATAATGACACAAAGACTCACAACTCACTTAAAAAAATTATTATTTAGTTACGTGTACAATAAATAAGATAATCAAACGATGAACAATCACAAGATCATAATTAACAAAACATTTTTTATTTTTATAAATAAACTTAAATAATAGGAATGAAATTGAAAAATTAACATTTAATGTCTTATTTAAATAAAAAATAAAACAATTAAATTAAAACACTTAAATTTAATAAATAAGACTATTGAAAATCCTGCATGTGGGCTCAACATAAAACTTGCATCCAACTTAAAACGAATTGGCTATAGGTGGAATAGTTCTCCTTGTATTTAACCCACAAATTTCTTATTTTTATATTCGATGTGGGATTTTCTCACTTAACACGCCCCCTCACGTGCAGGCCTGGTATGAATGTCAGGTCTTGTCATGTGGGTTAACACACCCCCTTAAATGCAGGCCCGGTATCAACTTCGGGTCCTGTCAAGTGGGCTAACAACGGGCTTCCCATGGTAGAAGCTGGGCTCTGATACCATATTGAAAATCCTGCATGTGGGATCAACACAACTCTTGCATCCAACCTAAAACCAATTGGCTCTAATTCAATAGCACAAAGCAGGGTTTGGATGAATCGATCATTTGGAAATGATGGTGTATCCATTTTATTATCAGGAATATGCAGATAATTGAGCTCAAACAAACGCCCCACCTTGCGACCTGTTCCAAGAAGTTGTCCTGTCCGTGGGTCCTGCACACGACAACCATGAGCAGAAAATGTTACTTCAAGACCAAGATCGCATAATTGATCGACAGATAGAAGATTATAACTAAGTTTTGGAACTAAAAGGGCATTTGGTAAAGTCAATGACTTTGTAGAAACATTACCAATGTGACTAACATTCATAGGGGAACCATCAGCAGAATAAATATCAGGAAAGGAATT